GTTGACTTACCCTTCTGGCTTTGCCTTGATATTTCAAAGCTTTTTTTGTTTCTGTTTTTGCTGACTGCACATAGTCCTGCGCTTGATTCACATTGTATTCTATTCTGTCTATCATTTCACCCTGGAAAATACAATATGGATATTTTATTATTAATCTGTCCTTTTTACAAAACACAATAATACTGTATTAGCATAATTAGGTTTAAGTAACAGTCTAGGGGGGTCAATAATGTTAAGTATCATAGCAGAATTATGGTAACCATTCAGAAAACTAACATGGATTCCTGTGAGATCCTGTGAGATAAAGTAGAAAACAGTTGCAGTTATAACAAACTCAATCTGGTGGAATTGGGAGAACAAAAGAGGAGTGCTAATATCACGTACCTGACTTTCCACTAGCATGTACATGTCTTGAAACATCTCGTGAAGTTCCTWGTCAATAATACAAAATCATGCAAATGAGAAAAAACTGAGGTGCACAGTTCTAGAAAGTATCAGTCTAGAGAGGTCAATGATGTTCAACCAGATGTTTTTGGTTGTGACTAAATATTGCCATGCAGTATGTAGTCACAACTAATCATGAACTATCAAGCCATTTGAATCCATGGGGTGAAATCATAACCCATGAAACAACCTCTGGGTATATCGAGGTTAGAGCATGGCTAACTCACACATCAAATTAGAATTTAGTTGTTAGGTTGCGTGTGGAGGRAGGAAAACCAGAGAACCAAGAGATAAACCCTTGAATCAAGGGACAGACTTAACAACTAGTACTGACTCTACCAACAAGTAACACCAAGTAAAGGAATGGAAGCCAAAGACCCAGAAGTGAGTGCATTACCATTACACCATCCTTGAACCCCAACTTAAATTTTAGAGTAACCTGTTGGCTACAGACTCCTTTTCATTTGCAACTCATCGGTACAGACTGCTTACTATCAAATAATTATTAATATTGTTACCATTATGCTCTTTTCTAGTGTGATAATATCCCTGTGTCTAGCCTCTATGTCACCAAGTGCTTGTTTAGCTTGCTGGGTTTCAATTACAATCTGAACCAAATGAAATAGAATTGTGTTAAATGATTGGGAATACATTGATCAATACTTCATAATGTTCAAACTGTGTTGCCCAGGGGGTTATTTCCCTATATTCGCTGTACGGCTATGTGCTGCCAAACAGGGTATGGTTTTCAGCAATTCTACTCTGGAACAGGGTATATAAAATTGCCCTCGCTCTGGAACAGGGTATATGAAATCATGCTCTCTCCTCTCTGGAACAGGATTTTCAGCGATCTTGCTCTGGAACAGGGTATGAATTTCAGCGATTTTTACTCTGGAACAGGGTCAGGGTTCAGAGGGCTCAGCGGCACATCCATACCCTAAACGGGCAAGAGAACCCCCCCCCCTCCGGGCTGTGTTGTCAGCAATGAAGAATTCTACTCACATTTGAAGTAAAAATAACAGGATCATCACTCTCTAACATCTCTTCTACTTCTTCACTAGTTTTTACTTTTCCAGCTAAAAGTGGAACAAAAATAGAATAATGAAAATCATACAATTTGTTATATAATTTATTTACAATATTTTCCATGAATTAGTTAATAAAAACATAAAATTTCCAAAACAAGTTTAATCTAAATGAAATTTAATTTCTTTTATGATTCCATGCGTTTAAACCAAAAAARCTGTTTTTACTATACATACTTATTTCTAGTTGCCTTTGTATCCTTGCTTTGCATTTTTCTCTGTAACCGGTTTGGGTCGTGTTATATTCACTCATAACTTCAATGAATTTCCTTGAMAGAGTTGCATGCTAAAACCACAACAACAAGTATAACACTTTATCAAACAAATGATTAATGATTATTGAGAAGGAAACAATATTGTATGGCAACCTCTTGTAGCAAGTGTTTCCTCATGTAAAGCCCAAAGTCAAAAAATGATTTTGTCAAGCTTGAAAAGGAATATGATGGCTAACTCACAGATCAAACCATGATACAACCTCTGGGCTGAGAAAAGGAACAAAAAATGATTTTGTCAAGCTTGAAAAGGAATATGATGGCTAACTCACAGATCAAACCATGATACAACCTCTGGGCTGATCTAAGTCGGGCCACTGCTGACCCTCAAATCTAATTTTGATTTAGCATGTTAGCTTAAATGCAGAGGGAGAAAAAGAAAAGAACCTGGAGAAGACCCCTTTAACCAAGGGAGACCCAAAACACTCTACTCACATGATATACTGGGACTGGCAATCTAACTAGAGACCCTAGAAGTGARAGGGGTAACACTACTGCTATGCCATGCCCCCTTGCTTACCTGCTTCATAATAAATGAACAGTGTCGATTTGTTTTAATACACACRGTATATATTTTTACCTGACATCTTTTGATTCTAATATCAGCAACATTACTATGACCAGCTGCTATCTTTTTTTCATCTTCCTTYATTTGCAGTTCCATTTCTGTACAAATGAAAACAGTCTGCATCAAAACTAAACATCTTATTCAGTTTAGAGGTGAATTTTTATTCAACTATTTATAGTCTGATTTATATTTCAATGGCTGCTCAATGTCCAGACACGATGGCCACATTGGACTGATCAAAATGCTAGTTAATATAAACTATCAAAATGGTGTTTGGCTGGAAAGTTTCAAACTTGGCTGGTCATTTTCTGTTGACTGCCGAATGTTTTTAACCCTGGGAATACTAAGAGAAGAGGGAAGCAGGGCTCAAACTTGCTAGTAGTATTCTAGTTAATACTAGTGATTGTTTTGTTCTAGGTGAGCTATACAGCTACAGCATAAAGCAATAATATTATAACTGGCCAGAAAAAAAACAAAGAAAATCCATCAAAGCACACGAGAGAACAATGCACAGCTCTACTCTTATACCCCACAACCATGACATAGCAGTGAGTTTGCAYATGCCGCCTATGTACCCTGACATGTTTGGATAATATATATTCTATTAGTAACAATAGTGCCTCTCTACCAACCACTCTCAGCATTCTCAACAAAAGACAATTTTAACCGAGGGTTGATCATCTTTTGAATACCTTTCAAATTACTCCTAACCCTGTTGGCAGTCCTCTGAATATCTGCCATATGGGCTTCCATCTTATCTTTATTTTCTGTAAAAGCAATATCAACAAGAYATTAAACACTGAATCACTGCAGTAGGAATATAATTAGTGACATAAGCCAGTGAGCATTATTTTAGGTATTGACCTACCTCTCCACTAACCCCCCCCCCCCCCAGTATATGGGGTACATGCACTACAGGTACTTTCAAAACTATTTCTGATGAGACATAATTTGTTACATAATTTGTTATATAATCTTTTCAATTAATATTAATCAATAATGATCAATAAAAATCAGTTTCTGAATTGTAAAAATCATTAAAAAATAATACCACCACAAAAAGTAACGAATAATTATTGATCATTGTAATTTATAATCMCTCTATAGACCCCTTGCATTTGACGTCAAAGCAGCTCAATTTGTAGGACAAAACAAAATAATTTCAATCTCATGAGAATTRGAAACCTATAGCTATGTCCTCCAAATTAAACTGCATTCTGATGGACRGCAAGGGGTCTATATGTGTGATTCAATATCAATAACAAATCATAAATCAATAGGCTGATTGAGGAAAAATGAATATTGTTCAGTACCTATCCATCAATTTATTTGATATCTAAGTATCACCAGCATTACAATCAATCAATCGGCTTTTTTAATACCCAAACTTATTTTTCACCCCCAAAAAATTCCAGTTAATTTGATCTGAAACTCCCACAAATATAAACTTTCTGAAAATAACTTTAGTAATATTCTCTTGCTTTAGATAAATTTAACAATTAAAGAAATAATATTTTAAATATTTTTCCTGTTCCAGCAAAACACTTCCTTATGATAATTAATCACTCATAGACCCAAAAAAAGAAAATAAATTCAAGATTCTCAAAGATTCTTTTAAAATAAAGAAAAAAATCTTTGCAAAACGATGAACTTCACTTCTTCCCATAATTAAAATAGGGTATCAAGTTTCGTTTACATCCACATTGTTTCTAGTAAAGCTTTAATTGTACTTTTAACAATTTTCAACAAATTTGGATTGTTTAAACTTGATTTAAAGAGAAACTCATGATTTTTAGACCAAAAATGACTAACATTTGAATAATGAAAAGGTATATTTAAACGAGTTCAATTAAGATAATAGTTGAATATTCATAGCAAAAACAAAAATAAAGATTAATTTGACATGTACCAACCTTTGTCTTGTACTGCTGCAGACAGAATCGAACTGTGTGCTTTTTTAACGCTTTCAACATCTTCTATGATCTTTTCGATGTTTTGGCGAATAGATGCGGCCTGTTAGACAGAGAAGAAAAACATAGTAAAATGTAAAAGAGCTGTAACGATAAGCACAGYGGTGTGTAAAGACTATACTATCACTTGGAGGAGTCTACTAATAAATAATATTGAGAAAATTATACAGACAATGATGTGAGAATAGTTTAATGCTATATGTACCTGTGTGAAGAAATCATCCATAAAGCCTCCTTCCATGTTGATTTGATGAGAATCGTCCATCCCATACGATTCTTCATCTTTAAAGTTGTCCTTTGGAATCAAAAAATCAAGTGAAAGTAATAGTGATGGTTTCAAATGCTTAGCTCATTGAGGCGGACAACATGCGAGTTTGTCGGGCTGTATTTCATTCGTAAAACAGATTCTTTCTAAAAAGACAAATCGATAACTTACGTCTAGGCTGAGAAAATCTAACCGGTCCTTCATGGTGGAATATATAGTAAGTAGAAGTGGACAAAGGAGAGATATTCTGAACGTATTTCTATGCACCACCTCCCTTTGCAGCCATTACCTTGCCCAGTCACCGCGTTACTCCTACCAACCAAACAGCGGCAACTACTTTTGAACAAATGCGCACGCAAGCCAGCTCTAAGTATGGGCTCATTACGTCATTTTCCCGCGATTAATTTAAGCGAGACGTCATATATGAAAAATCTACTACTGACAGAGTCCAGTATCAAATATTGAGTAATTATTTTTACTTAATTGTCAAATATTCTATTGTTTTAGGTAAAGGGAAAATTATAGCTGCGTTTTGGAACCCAGATACGATATCTCAAAAAACTGATTACATGCGACTTAGGAATTACAAATGTTGGGTACTCAAAATTTCCTTTAACTGTTAAACCTGTCGTGTTTTCCCTCCATATCAAACATATCTAAGCATGTATTTTTAACTGACAAATACTAGAAAAAATAAAGTCTAAAAATAAAGTGCAAGAAAAATTGTAGCTATTGATATCTTACAAGGCAGAAACAATATATATACAGCCATATGCAAAAACTTTGACCCTTTCGTACAATTATGAGATATCCTCCCTGATATTTTTTCGAGTTGTCCATCAATAGAACTTTCCTATAATATACCCCATAATCTTTGATATGCTTTTGATATACTTGCAGATATATATAAAAGGGTCAAAGTTTATGCATATGGCTGTATACATATATATATATCTATGTATTTATTTATTTTTGTAGCCTAGTTTTCGATTTTCTGTATTTTGTTGACATAGAAGCGAGGCTTCATCCGGGATCTGATCGGATTTCCCGCCCGCCGACTTCAAATCGACTGGTTCTGACCGGTTTCGTTGCGGAATAATCCTACATCAAGAGATTTTACAACAAGGAAGGTTCGCAATCCTCTTCCATCTTGTCGTAGATTTTACAATCCTCGTTTTATTTACAGATCAGGATATAAATTAATATCATACCTGTCTTTTTACAACAGTTCTTTGATCTAATAATATTCTTTCGAAAGATGGCAACTGAAGATGAATCTAAGAAAGTTGTTGCGACATTCAAGGTAGGATCTGTGATTTCAGAGATTTTTCTTTAGAGACTGTCCTTGTCAAGTAGTAAAATGTGTGATTAATCGACAGCTGGTCCTTGTTGGTGATGGTGGAACCGGGAAAACAACGTTCGTAAAACGCCATTTAACAGGAGAATTCGAGAAAAAATATGTCGGTGAGTAAACTAACTTGTGCTACTAAAAAAGTCAAAAAAAACTATGCAGTATCCCTTTATAAAAATCTTTTTCCGTAGATGATAATGGTAAACTATTTCAGCGTAGTAAATGAATGCATCGTTAATAATATCAAAAATAGTTGTCAGGATCTCACATGAGGTATTTCGTCACAGCAATCATTCTGGGAATTCACCACGATTGCATACCTTGATTGCTGTTTTTCGCCTTTAAATAAATATTGCTCTATCGCTCAGGATGAACTTGGGAGTTAAAGTTCATGCTATTTATAGATTATATTTTACTTAATACTAACTATCACTTACGCATTTTTCACGATATTTAGCAACTCTTGGAGTAGAAGTCCACCCCTTGGTATTTTACACTAGCAGAGGAGCAATCAGATTCAATGTATGGGATACAGCTGGACAAGAAAAGTTTGGAGGATTAAGAGATGGTTATTACATACAAGGGCAGTGTGCTATAATCATGTTTGATGTCACTTCAAGAGTCACATACAAAAATGTCCCAAATTGGCATCGTGATTTGGTGCGAGTCTGTGAAGGAATTCCCATAGTGCTTTGTGGTAATAAAGTGGATATTAAGGAAAGGAAAGTAAAGGCCAAGTCAATCACATTTCACAGAAAGAAGAATCTGCAGGTAAAAATTGCACACATCACATAATATGTAGGGCAAGTAGTGGGTCTCTGTCAATACCCCCCCCCCCTTGCAACTCCATCGCCAAAACATGTTTAGACAATGTTGATGAGATGGGCGCTAGAGACTTCAGCCCCAATGCAAAATGGTTTGATGCCCCAACCACCATTGAAGTTTTCTTTAAGGACCCTACAACTACCTTTAAATAAAAAGAACCTTATATTTTACAACCACCACTTCCCTTGTGGGCCTCTTCCGTCAGGTTCCCTCCACATGCACTACCACTAAATGCTATATTTACAACATGCAACTCAACTCACATGTAGCTTTTTATGGAGGGAGGAAACCGGAGATCCCTGATCAACACATCAAACAAACTCAACTCATATGATTCTGAGTTTGAGCTGGGGCTCGAACCCGGACCACAGTGGTGAGAGGCGAGCGGTAAACCACTATGCCACACTTCAAATCAGATCTTAGTGATTAGAGAGTTTTCTGGTTTCCACATGGAACTGTTTTACCCTTCTCATAGTTTTAACATATCCAAATGTTTGGTTGGAAATAACTAACCACCTTTATTTTCCTTCCAGTACTACGACATAAGTGCCAAAAGTAACTACAATTTTGAAAAACCATTCTTGTGGCTAGCAAAGAAGCTTGTTGGTGATGCTAACTTGGAAATCATCGAGATGCCAGCCCTTGAGCCCCCAGCTGTGAATATGGACCCTAATTTGGCTGCCAAATATGAGCAAGACTTACAAGAAGCTCAGAACACAGCCCTACCTGATGAAGATGATGAAGATATATAAATACAAGAACAAGTCAAGGGGTGCTAATTGGCATTTGTGTCTAAGATAAAGATCAAAGATTCTACCTATACTGCAAAAAATGTAAATGTTAAAGAACATATTGCAATATCGTACACCAAACGAACAGCCACATCTAGTCTATTGAAATGTTTATTCAGTTAAAGCTATTAATTTCCACCTTTACTGGTTTATGTGTGCCAGGAAGATCTATCAGAAACTGTGGTTACTCAAACATGTTTCAATATGACCTATTTTAGTAGGAATAGCCTGTTTATTACATTCCTTTTGATATGCACTGTTGGAAGATTGTATATCAAGAAGCTTAAAGCTGAAAACAAATGAAATAGTATGTGTTTATTTAATTTCTCATTGAACTATCTAGAACAAGATGTAAGGCTTTATAAGACCATTTTCTACAAAATAAAATTTTATGATGATTGAGAGTTGGTTGATAAACAAATCGTTAGGATTTAATGTAAGATTATTCTTATTGTAAGTGGTTATTAGAAACAAGGATTTTGTTACAAAAGGATTATAATATTGACCATTGGTACTAACAGCTCACATGATCCTACCACCTTAAGACAAGCAGTGATGTTAAACTGAACACCAGACATGAAATGAATGCCTTATATAAATTAGGTAGATGAAGTTTCAGCTTTCAAAATGACATGACTTAAGCTTTTACTGTCAAGCTAGTTTTCCCATATAAATCTTGTTAGTTATATTGAGGTTCTGGTTTCATTACTGGTGTTCAAATTAACACAACTGACCTGTTCATTGATTTCTTCAATGCTTGTCACTATCTCCTATTAATTTGTTTACTGTCTCTTCTTTTGGATCTTTCTTGTCTTTCCAACTCATGAATAAAGTCCTCTAAAGTTAAAGCATCTGTTTCCACCCCAGTTTTACTCTTCCTTTCCAGAAATAAYGCAAGCAACTCTCTGTGACGTAATGAAATGCTTCTATTCCAGAAAGGTTCCTCTAGTCCAAGGGCTTCCCTTATCTTCCTTGCAATGAACTAAATAATAAATGTAATAAAGTCTTAAGAAGCGATTTGTTACAATCTCTTGATCTGTGAAACGGTAGTGTAAACCACATATCCATGAAATTGCACTAGAGTGGACGCACTAAAACCGTGAACATTAAATAGTACTAATTAGTACTATTTCATGCAGAATCCTTTGTTTTCTATTGTTTAATTATCACTATTTAGTGCTAAAAATTAGTATGCGTTTCAAGGATTTAGTGTGAGCACTCTAAACATATTTATTTTGTTTCATTATAGAGTGCAAGTAATATACCTGTGAAATAGTTAGGATTAAATAGGGGTTAGCACTTAATTAGACAAAACAGGAATTGAGTGAGGCATGATAACTAGAGCACGGGCGTTTACTAGAGTGACAACTCAATACGCAAATGATTAGATATGAAAATGCAAACATGTCAAATTATAGGAAGGAAAAGCATGTAAGAGTGTCTTACAAATATTTTAAAATGCGCGCCCTTGAGTAGCATGTCACTAGTTTATCAGTCACGGCTCGCCTATCTTAACTAGACTTAGGCAATCAAAGGTTAGTAACTAGCTAGCTATCTATTTCACGGGTATGTTATTTGCACTCTATATGGTTAATGTAATTAATTTTACAGCAAATAGAGTAAAGGCATTTAACCCATGAAATAAAGATCTTAGTCAATATGTAATAGTCAGATACAAGAAAACAATGGAATTAAGGTTTACTGAAAGTGTATTAGTCTAATATCTATTTCACAGGTTTATTGCCTTCACTCTAGAACAGTGCTAGTATATTTCTCTAATATTGACTTAGTCAATGTGCTACCTCTGGTCATGAGGTCAGTCCTCAGTCTCACCATGCAAGCTGCAAGCGCTGCAAGCAGCATGTTGGTTTTCCCCTGTGAGTTTGGGGATTGATTTTCCTTTCAAGTCCAATTTAATCATGGAATAAGGCTGTGGCCCATGGTTTGTAAATTTAATTTTGGTATGGATTTGTTAGTACCCCAAGCTAGACCAGGATGTATCTTGTTCCACTGAGAGCAAGGGCTGACTGTTTGAGTGATTTAATAATATGAAAATAAACCAAGTAGCAAATCGTAATATTACAGTACGCGATTTACCTTGATGTGTTCAAAGTCGTTTATTCCAATTTTTGGCAACGCTGATGCATCTATTTCAATGAGTTTTCGTCCATTAATAAGGTTATCCGCAAATGGCCTCTAACGATAGAAAGTTTGAAAAGTCCCATTAAACTTTTAAGCTCAAAAATCTTCAAGCTTACAAAACTGGTCTCAAAAAGCAAATCGTAAGAAAAACAAAAATTCCGTAGCAAACAGAACAGATGTTTTATCGTAACCATTGGTAACACGTTTTCCTGTCTTTTGTTTGCATTAATTCCCGCTGTGGCATTGAAAAAAACTAAAGGAAAGATAACTAAACATTTTGTATATTTTGAGAATGAAGTATCGTTTGCAGTATTAACTTTTGTTCGGTGATTAATTAGTTTGAAGTGTCTGACAAAGTGAAACTAATAATACGCTACTTCCTACTCGATATTGGTTGAATCCCAAGTACTCAATCCAATCAGCTACATCTTCTACAGTCCAATTTAAACAGCAAGGAGTTCCATCGTTTTCGAATGTAGGTTGATATCCGTGTAAATCGAACTTTGTTGGAGTTTTTCTTGAACTTCGGATCAATCCGTTCGCCATCTTGTATCGCCTTGGTAACTGGAGTTTTACCCAAAGTTCTTTGCGTTCTCGAGCCAATAAAAACATTTAGGGAGGGGTGGGGAGCTATGGATAAAATTATTGGTTTACATAGTTTTGTTGGTTCAAATGCATTGTTTTATTTGTAATAAAAATCTGGATATAAATTAATATATTGCTTCTGCAAATCATTTTTACGAATATAACTTACACTACGACACAAAGAAACGGTTTTCAAGAAACAATAATTTAATACTAGACAACATTACTTTTTTCACTCTTTATAATTGAGTATCCTTGTTGCATTTGAGCATCATAGCTTGTCTCATTCCCAATCAGGCTACACATTTTTTCAGTGGTGAGGTAGGGTACTAAAATGAGTTTTCAGTCAAAAGGTGTACTTATTTCTGTTCTTGATTAACAACCAGTGGCTTGTAGTCATGTTGGACAGCATCAGTCAACAGGTTAGCATACATGTCAAGCCTTGATGTCATCTGACATGAGAAAAACTAAATATATTAATATGAACTGGTCACTAATTATGAGAACTGAGCACCAGGCCTGAACACTGTATCCTTTCAGACCAGGTGTTTTATGCATCTTCATTATACTTGGAATGATTATGTTATGAATGGCTTATTACTATATGTCCCCTCCCATGACTGCAAGCAATGACCATATTAAACAGTGAAATTACTTACTGGGAATCCCCATTTATCTTTAATTTGCCGACACAAGTTTAAATCCACTTCTGTCACCAAAAGTCCATCTCTGGTTCTGGACAATCCCTGTTAAAATAAATAAATAAATGAATGAATGGATGGATAAATGAATTAATGAAGGAAGGAAGAAAGGAATATAGAAAGAAAGAATAAGATAGTTAAAGTGATACACAGTGATAGTGATAATGATAGTGGTAGTGATAGTAATAACATCAAAATAAATTAAGTTATTAATAAAAATTTTTGAAGGTGATTTAATTCACTCAGCTGCTGGAATGGTCTAGTTGAGGATAAAGGAATCTTACAACTGGAAGCAAAATGTACAAAAGATGGCATTTTCATAGACTTACAGGAGTACGACTTCCATCAGGGGCAGCAACATAAGAAGAACCTAAAGTTGACATCAACAACAAAAATAATAAATATAAATTATTGATGAATAATACCTAGCTACTGTCCAAATCAAATATTTTCTATATTTTTAATTAAAGTAACAGTTAAGCTTACCATAAAACTCTCCAAAATCCTTGTGTGCTGCAACGAATATATGAATATCACACATTTACTTGAGTAATATTAATACTAATAAATCAATATACTAATAGAGCTTGAGAGCAATTCCCTTTATGTACACTCATACACATCATCATCATCACCATCAACATTATATATTATATACTTTTATAACCCTAATGGCAATCATAACCATCGTTTATCACCATATTGAAAGACTCAGAAAAAATTGAGTCTTGAACAGGATTTGAACCAGTGCCCTGGTGAACCAGTGCCCATTGTAAATGAATTTTTGTAAGCCAGTAACTACTGGAGTTGTAAAAGCTTTGATGTTGTAACCCAGTAGTTACTGTAATTGTAAATGAATTTTTGTAAGCCAGTAACTACTGGAGTTGTAAAAGCTTTGATGTTGTAACCCAGTAGTTACTGTGATTGTAAATGAATTTTTGTAAGCCAGTAACTACTGGTGTTGTAAAA